GCCTGACAACACCTAACCACAGTGTCTACACTTCTTTGCACTCTAACTGCAATTGCCCGAAAAGAAAGTCCGGCTTCCCGAAGTTCCACTATACGGCCCCTATCAAACTCACTAAGTTGACGAAATCGTACAGGTCTCCATACTCTAGGCATCGTAACCGATCGTAAAGGATGTCAAGAACCAAAATCCGCCAACGTTGATTCTTTAGTGCGGCTGAAATATTCATTTTTAAAGCGTTAGTGAATTAAAAAAAAGCAGTATAAAAACCGGAATGTCCAACTGATAAGACTGAAAATTTTTTCACTTGTTATTTACAGTAAGATAAAAACATTCACCAACTTTTATTAAAATAAAACCATTTAAACTGGGTGCACGGATTTATATGTCACTTAGTATATATTTCCCCCACGGTTCCTTGAAAATAAGCTTTTCTCCATCCTTATTCGTTTCTTCTGTACATAACTTTCTAACTTTATTATTGTCTAACATGCCTTTTCATCATCGTATTACGCAGAGAACAATTCTTTCTCGATAACTTTATAGGCTGTTACACATACTCATAAATAAGAAAGTTATATTCCATTTGCTATCAGATATCCTGAAAATACGTGTACCTATTGCTTTTTCTCCTGTTTGACAAGTTTGGTCGATAATCCATACACAGCCACAATCACAACGGACGGAACTTTACCCTTTGCCATTACTCGACGTTATTTTTCTAAGAAAGTTATCTTAATCCGTTTTGCAAGGACAAGGGGGAAATTTCTAATCCTAGGTTATCTTAAATGAGTTTGGAGTCGATTAAATAAAGAGGCACTCGTTCCGCAGGGTTATTACGAATTTAGAAGATTGACATTATGTAGATTTTTCTATAAGATCTCAATTTCTAATTATCTATTGTTCACTTGATGCGCACACGTTGAGTGGCTATACGTTTTGCCTAAGCGTGGTTTGCTCTGATGTGATGTAACATCTACTTCAGAGATTATTGGAGGTCTAAGCTGTAAGTTGTATACTTTATCTAGAGAGAAACGGGCGAAACGACAGTGCATACCTAAGCACCTGCTTAGTGAGGATCTGTATGCTAATATAATCTGTGTTGATGATGATTCCCTTGGTTTCTTGCTTGAGATAGGGGAAAAGTAGGTAATATGCCCCAGTTGACAAAATGCCCCACTAGCGTTTCACTGAAACAAGCACACTTTTTCGGCACAATGCGGCATCCGCGCATCGAAGAAAGTCTGCCGGCAACATGGTTTATGTTCCTACACGCGTGCTGTAGCTTGTTAAAAAAATATTGCAAAGGATAGTTTTTCAGTGGTCGGACAATTTGTGGTAAGTTCCAAACAAATTTATATATCGTTAATACTATTTGTTTTATTCCAAACTTATATGCACCATGTTAAAACATATAAAATTGGCTTCATGCTCTGTGTGTGTCAAACAACATAACCTAAAATTCCTTTCTTGCATCAGAGTGGGGCGTTTTAGACACCATATTTTACAATATGCCCCATTGTATGGTTTATAATTCGCCCCACCATTAAAACCGCAAATATTATTCATGGTTCTTATGTTTTCCAGAATATGTCACGAAAATATGAACGGAAGTCACTACGAGCGTCATGGGCAGCTGAAGATTTGGAAGAGGCGATGCAGCAAGTCCGGGGAAAAATTATGGGCATTAATGAGGCTTCCAGACGTTTTGGAATACCATCCAGAACATTGAGAAGACACCTTATAACGGGAAAATCAAAGGTCCCCCTTGGCCGCAACCCTGTATTTTCAGTTGAATATGAAAGAAAACTTGTAGCACATATACAAAAATTGGAAAAAGTTGGTTTTGCACCAGACAGAAATGATGTGAGGGAAATTTCTTTCCAGTTAGCAAAAAAACTTGACATACATTTTCTGAAAGGTCGGGATCAGCTGGTAGGGTGTGGTTTACTGGATTTATGAAAAGAAATCCAGAACTAACTCAAAGAAAATCAGAAGGCTTATCACTTGCACGAGCATATGGAGTAAACAGAAAAGACATTCAATATTTTTATGACCTTTTGGCCAAAATTTACGAAGAAAATGACTTTGCATCTCATCCTGAAGATATATATAACATGGATGAGACAGGGATTCAGGTTAATAACAAGCCAGGAAAAGTAGTGGCAACAAAAGTGGTCAAAGATGTATATACTCTCACAAGTTGTGAAAAAGGTGAAAATGTGACAGTTATAGCATGTTGCAATGCTGGAGGTAATTTCATGTCTCCTACATTAATATATAAGGGAACTTACACTAAGCCCCAGTTTTCTGAAGGGCTTCCACCAGGATCACGGGTCCTTATGAATAAAAAATCATCCTATATTAACTCGGACTTGTTCATGCAGTGGTTTGAAGAAGTATTTTTACGACACAAAGGTCCTCGAACGACTTTATTAATATTAGATGGTCACAGTTCGCATAGTAACAATATTCGGGTACTAGAAGTAGCCAAAGAAAATAATGTGATACTGTTATGCCTACCAAGCCACACAACGCATGTACTTCAGCCTCTTGACAAGGCCTTTTTTAGGCCACTCAAAATGTTTTTTGCACAAGAAGCTAAATCTTGCATGGTACAAAATAGAGAAAAGAAGTTGCGCGCTATGATGTCTCAAAACTGATTGGCAAGGCTTTGGGTAAGGCCGCCACTGTATCCAATGGTGTTTCAGCGTTGAAGTGCTGCGGTATCTATCCATTTGATCCCCATGCTGTTGCAGACTATCATTTCTCATTATCAGATTCGCTACAAGAGCAAAATTTAGTTGACATTGACGAAGTCAACAATCAAAGTACAAGAAGTACTGATGAGAGTCTTACAGGAAATACTGCACCAGCAACTGAGATTCTGTCACAGCCAGGAACGTCAGGTCTCCACAGCACTCCAGTCTCCCTACATGATGACGAATCTGTGAATACGCCGCAAAAGCACCCACAAAATGGTGCATCCCAACAAGTAGGCATTTGTGATAAAACGCCTGAAGAAGCCATTCCATCTTCTGATGTAAAAGACAAAGAAACGCCTTCCAAAGTTCTAAGTGAAATACATCCAGTGCCCAAACTACCAAAAAATCTGTCCAAAAGGAAACAAACAGCAATCATTCTCACTTCGCCGGAAAATATTGAGAAAAGAACATTACTGGCAAATAAAAGAAAGATTAAAGCTGAAGCTGAGAGTAATAAACTCAAGAAGGCTAAAACAAAAGTGACTAATACGAAAAAAAGGGATGACCTTAGTAGAGTAAAAGGTAAAAAGGTGTTAAAGAAGAAGCCAAAGAAGAATGCGTGGGATTCATCGTCTTCAGATAGTAATGATGAAAATATGGAGACGTTTGAGGAGTCGGAAGAAGAGCTATCTGATGAGGACCCAAACAGATGTGCCGAATGTACTGAAAACTATTACCAAACACAATCTACAGAGGATTGGATCCTATGTCCCACTTGTTCAGCATGGCTGCATGAATTTTGTACAATGTATGCTCCTATGTGTAATCGTTGTGGACGAAAAGCTAAAAGGGCATCTATCCAGAAATGAGTTCCATTCATGCGTATAAACATTATATACCTATGTATTATATTTCAAAGATTCATTTTATCAGTTCATCAAACACTAATAGTGTCGAATTATCATTTCATTTTGGTTTGTACAAAAGTAATATTCTAGTTTTATTTCATCAGAAGTGCTGTATCTTACTCTGATATTCATTAAAGTTATTTGAATGTTCATTTTTTCAATTATTGCTTATATCTTCAAATTAATATAATATTGAAGGTAGTGGGGCATTTTGCAACTCGTGCGAGGCGTATTACCTGAGGGTCAGTTGACAAAACGCCCCACTCAAGGTTCTGGAAAATATGCAATCAATATCTGTCTAAACGATTTAGATCAATGTAACATCTGCCTTTACGTTGTAAAAGAGCCAAGCTATGCCCCTGATTAAGATCTTGCCGATATCTTCAAATGATTTCTTTCAATAGGCCCTTGAAAAAAAGTAGGGCGTATTACCTACTCTTCCCCTATATACAAAGCTAGAAATCAGTATTGCATCCACTTTTTGATTTATCCAGGAAATTACATATGCAAATTTGCTCAATTTAAAAAATGGGAGACATAAAAAAGCCCTGGTTGGTGGAGTATATTATCAGATAACTAAATAAGTTCATGCGGTTTTTAGTAGAAAAATATAAATTTTTATTGAGAAACAATAAGACTCTATTTATTTGTCGAAGTAATTAGAATCACATTCGATGACCTTTTGCCAACGTGGAACCAATTTTTGTATGCCGGTATTGTAGAACTCCTGGATTTGGAGTAAAAAAATTGGCGGACTGCATTTATTACACCATCTCGAGTTGTGAATTGTCGGTGCCTCATACAGTTGTCAAAAGACAAAAAAAAGGTGATAATCACTGGGCGAAATGTAGGGAGAATATGGCGGGTGCGGTAACGTTACCCCGCCGGGTTCAGAAATTTTTTCTCGGGTCACTTTTGCGGTATGAGGCTTGGCGGTATTCTGCAAGAATATCACTTTCTTCCGATTGATCAAAGAATGTTGTTTCTGGATGAGTGCTGCTTGTACTCGTTGAAGCTGCTCACAATACAAGTTAGCAGTGATGGTTTGACCCCTTTCCAAAAACTCATAATGGACAATTCCAGTTGGTGTCCACCAAACACACAACAAAACCTTGTTTGGGGGCAAGGAAGCCTTGGGCGGGTGTGTTATCGAATTAGTAGGCGACAACCAATGATACAAACGCTTAGAATTCGAATACAAGATCCATTTTTCGTCGCAGGTTAATAACCGATTAAGAAATGGTTCATTAGTGTTGCGTGAAATGTTTACTGAACAAATGGTAAGACGACTTAATTTGCTATCATTTGTCAGTTCATGTGGGACCCATTTGCTGAACTACCACGTCTTTCCTAGCCGATGAAAATGCAAACGACTAGTTTCAGGACTCACTATGAACATTTCTGCAAGTTCTTGGCATGTTGTCCTTGAATTTGCGTCCACAACCTGTCGAAGATCCTCGTTGTTCATGATTTTTGGTCTCCCTGAGCGCGATTCATCGCTCAAACTTAGATCTTCCGAATAAAATTTTTTGAACCACTTCTGTGCTGTTCCATCACTAACGGCATCATCTCTGAATGCAGTAGATACATATTTTTCACGCGGCCGCTGCAGCTTTTGTACCAAGTTTGTACTCATACAGTAAACAACCTCGAATTACTGTTTTATTCGTTTTCATTTTCAATTATTAAACTTTTTATGTGTGTGAGAAAAGAAGGATTCATACTAAAGTGACAACAGGTAACAAACCTCATACAACTAACGGGAGAGAATGTATGCTACAGAGAGACATATTTATATTATTTCTTATTTCCAATCATTTAAATTTTATAGAGATTGATGTTGCGGTGTCGATCAAAAACTACATATCAGCGACTAGATGTGAAGCAGTGATTTTAGCTTGTCAATAGTAACATATTTTTTGATTCTACATTGTTGTGGGTCTATAGGATAGAAAGAGCGTGAAGTCAATAGCTAATTCAAAAGCAGAAGGGACCCGGACGTGTCCGCAACAAACCCTTTGGTGATTACGTCTGATAGAATTATAAATTCAAGGACATGTAACATTGAAATCGATTGCAGATGTGTATGGTTTAATAGTGGTGAATCAAGTTTTGTTAGAGGACAAGCAATTTTCAAGTGTGTTCTCGGTAACAGTATAATAGTAAATGGTTTTTATTGCCAAAATAAGCACACGCAAAAATTACAAATACTAGCTACTTTCCTGGCAAACGGCAGTATTGGGATCTTACCACTGTATAGGTAGATCATCCATTCGACCGAAAAAAAAATACAATACTACTTAGAAGCAAGAAAATTCATCCGAAAAGAGTTGAAAGAAAAAATGAAAAACTACATTATCCACCATAAAAAGCTAGTTAAATTTTATGTTTCATATTATTCAGTCATCGGCCAACAGAAGACGCTACATTGTTTTTTAAATACATCCATAGACAATCTTCTGTATGAAATCTATCCATAGTCTAATCATGTTAGACGAAAATACCGCTGGTTTGCTAAATAACTGAAAAGTCTGGTTTTATTGGTGCAAGTTATTCAAGGGGGTATTCAAAACATGGATCCATGAAATGGGTACACCAATTTTTGTGGGAAAACTTTTTATTCGACAACAAAAAATGAGACAACGTGTTTTTTGGATTCAATCGAAAGTGTTAACAGGAACGAAAAAACCTTCCAGATAAGATTTTAAGGTATTTACGAGACCTACAGAATGAGACCACTCGTAAAAAGATCGGAATAATAGCAAAAATGTTATGGCCGAAAACCGAGGCAAATTGCAGGTTTTGACACCTGTTGGTGATGCGACGACGGTTTCTCGGAGATATTTGAAATTCTTCAAATTCGTAGGATTTGTACTCCTAAATAGCCATAATAAAATTGGAATAGATGTGGACAAGTAGTCTTTGAGAATTTCTAATTGTTTATCAAAAAACACCTGTCTTCCGGCCATCAACACTAGTTTATTATAGTCCCTACAGGGTTAGTTGAAAGGGCATTTTCTAGCAAAATACACTAGAGTATCTTGCCGATATAAATCGCAAACCATTCCGGAAGATAAATGTTATTTTAACGCGAAAAACGAAGGATTACGTTTTTTCTTTTAAACAAATTCAAGCATTTTGTATTTGTGAGTAATTCGCAACAAAAGATGATAGACATATTAAGATCTTTAACTGATAAAAATATAACTACAAAAAAATTGAAAGGCGCGAGATCAAGCGAAAGCCTTGGATCACATCAGGTATTGTAAATTCTGATAACATATCTTGAATATAAGAAAAATTAGAAAAACTCATACGAAATGCTAAATACAATTTTTACAAGAAACAAATAAATAAAAACAAAGATACTCCTCCTAAGAACTGGTGGAACGTAGTTAATAAACTCTGTAATGGCAGTTATAAATGTGCAGTTAAGGAAATAGTTGATGAAAATAAATTATGTGATTCGCCAATAACACTAACTTGCAAATAAGTTTAACGATTTCTTTGTAAATATTGGCAAATACTATGCTGAGCGCATTGTGAGGCCAAACAAAAAAAGACCGCAAAGGAAAATAAATCAAAGTACATTTTTCTTAGAGGTGATAGATGTAACTGAAGTAACCTCAATCATTAATACATTAAGAAATGGAAAATCGCCCGGTTTTGACAACTTGAAGTCCAAAATATTTAATTATACTGCTGACATTATTTCAATGCCGCTATGTCACTTAATCAACCGGATTTATATTTCTAATGAAGTTCCAGAACAGTTCAAAGTAGCTTTAGTTACACCTGTACATAAAAAAAGGTGACGTAAAAAGTATAAATAACTATAGACCAATATCTGTCATAATTATAGCTAAAATATTTGAAAAATAGGCTAGTTAAATTTTTGGACAAATGCAAATATCTTTCAGATAAGCAATTCGGTTTTCGAGAGGGAATATCAACCAAGACTAATAAAATCTGCAAACGAAAAAGAAAGACTGTATAAAATCATGAAATATTTACCCACGAAAGAAAATATAGATCATTATAATCAGTATAAAAACAAATTTATAGAACTTTTGAGAAAAGCAAAAAAAAATTACTATATAAAACAATTGAATAATAATTCACATGACTCTAGACACCTATGGTCCACTGTCAATGATATATTCAATAAGTCATCCTATTCAAAAAACAATATTAATGAAATAAAAACAAAAACAGCACAGAAAACACACAATATTCAGCAAATGTGTGATGAGTTCATAGAATTTTTCACGAATATAGGAGGAAACTTAGCAAATAATATCAAACAAAATGCTGATATTCATCTGCATGAAACAAGACTGAATAATTCATTTGTATTAACTGAAGTAGACTATCAGGATGTTTTCAATGCCATTATGACTCTAAAAAATAAAAAAAGCCCTGGAGTTGACGAAATTAGAGCTGAACATCTAAAGATACTGGCCAAACAAATAACAGAACCACTTGCTTATATCATTAACAAATCCTTCCAATCTGGAGTATTTCCATCAGCTTTCAAGACAGCAATCATCATACCTATCTATAAATCTAATGATAATACGGACGTCACTAACTATCGACCTATTTCACTTATATCAAGTTTAGCTAAAGTTTTTGAGAAATTACTCCTTAATAAAATTACTAATTTTCTTAATAAATTCAAAATTCTAAATTCAAATCAATTTGGTTTTATAGCGGGCAAATCTACAACAGATGGGGTATTAAGTATAGTAGATGAAATAACCCAAAATATAGATGGAAAAGTACCATCCATATGCGTATTTGTGGACTTACAAAAAGCGTTTGACACAGTTAACCACAATATACTTTAGGAAATCTTAGAAAGAATAGGTTTTCGTGGAAAGATGTATACTTTAATGGAAAATTATTTATCAAATAGACCGCAATCAGTAAAATTATTAAGCTCGTATAGTAAAGAAATGTTTGTTAAATGTGGTGTTCCACAAGGTACAATTTTGGGTCAATATTTATTTAAACGATATATTCAAAATTAACAGTACTGGTAAAATAGTCAGTTTTGCAGACGATACTGCTATACTCTATAAAGGTAAGGATTGGAACGACTTAAGAGATATTATCCAAAATGACTTTTGCAAAATTATTCAGTGGTTTAACAACCGAAAATTAACAATTAACTTTACTAAAACTCATTTTTTACCATTTTCATCACTATCTAATCATCTACCAAAATATAACCACCTTCGGTTTAAGGTAAATGATAAAAATATAAAAATCAATAGAGTTAATGATACAAAATATTTAGGAATTTATCTAGATCCCCACTTGAGATGGGATGTACATATTTCTCACATACTAAAGAAAATTAGGTTCATAGCATATTAGATAAAATTTCTAACCGGTATATTAACTGAATATTATCTACGAATAATATATCAAGCTTTAGTCGAGCCACACATAACATATGGTATAGTAGTGTGGGGTGCTGCATGCACGACATACTTTAACGATTTAGATGTACTTCAAAGAAGAATTTTAAAATCAATGTTAGGCAAATCAAAATTATACCCAACTAATGACTTATATAATGATGCACAAGTATATGATACTAAACAACTTTACTTCTTACATACCATCACTCATTATCACAAAACTATTAGTGAACACGACATAATTAAACATAATCATAAAACCAGATATAAATTACGCGCAAAAAATGTTCCTAAACCAAACAAATCCCTAATGAAACGATGTCACCTGTATATAGCTCCAAAATTGTACGAACATTTACCAAATAATTTAAAACTATTACGCAATACATTAAAACTTCAAAAAAAATTAAAAAAATTTATTAACACGATAGGGAGAAATCAAATTAATAAAATAATCTCAAATATTACACAATAAATGCTCTACCATTCTTACCAATAATTTCTTTTTTCTCTCTATTTTATTATATTTTGCAATTCAACATACATATGATCCATGCACAGGCGTTGTCCTCCTATGGATATATTATATTTATTTACTCGTTTCATGTTCCCTGTATTTTAGAGTAAATAAATATTATTATTATTATTATTATTATTATTATTAAGGATGCAATTGCTAAGTTAACAGAAGAGATTAGAAAAACATTAGAATTGAGTACACCGGTACTGTGCGTATTATTGGATCTTGCCAAGGAATTCGACACTGTGAATCACCAGCAGATGTTGGAGACCTTGAAGGATGCAGGAGTACGAGGCGGACCTTTACAGTTGTTTACAAGCTATCTCTCAAATCGAAAACAAGTAGAGAAGATTAGTGAGACATTCAGTAATGAAAAGACAGTTGATTACGGTTTACCTCAGGGTACTGTGTTGGGTCCAATCTTGTTTACAATTTACATAAACATCATTCTAACTTATTCGTCAGTTGGTCAAGTGTTTAGCTTTGCAGTCCTGTATGATGATAACACTTAGGAAAATA